TTGGAACGAAAAACGTATGTTATTGTTTATAACTGTTTTTGTTGGAAATGACTGAAAACCAGATATACATGTATGTATTAACACGCTATTTTCCGCTTCGGTCGGTTTATGTTGCTTGAAAAAAACTATTTTGTAAGACAAAAGTTATAGCGAAATTGCAACCCGACGCGAGGCAGAATTTTTATGAAAATGTGTGGATCCGACGTAGTTCATATTGCTTTATCCATAGTTTTTTCCTTCAAATGAATTATATATTTTTTTCAGAGTTCACCATAAATTTCGAAGTATTATATGTATAGCAATGTTTTGTTGCTTTTGATTATTTAGAATACATTGTGTCATGTCCAATATAACATTTAATTTGAAAGTTTACATTGCGGACGATAATTTTCAGTTAAACATGAACATGTTACCTAATTGATCATAATATCTTTTCTTATACTTTCCTGTATGTTCAATATTATCCCTATTTTATTTTCGCAAAAAAATGTAGAAATTTATTAGCTTGAATTCATTTTGGCTAGCTACGCTCTAAGTTAATTGTGGTTCTACATGTTCTGGGTAATGACTGTTTTTCGTGGTTTGTTTTCAAACTTTCACTCTACACATTAGCTTTACTAGTGGCGAGGATCTCAGGTAAAATGTTGCACCTGCAAAGAACCATCGACATTTTGATTCTAGCTTGATAGGTTTTCCACACGAAATAATAAAAAGTCCCTGGTAGTTTTCGAATTTATAGCAGTTCAGTTCAAGTGATTTGAATTCAGTAAACATTAACAGCTCTGCCTCGGTCGGACACACATGTCTAAATTTTTTTCAACAAAAATTGTTAACGTCAGCTGTACAAATAAGCAGCTTTTTATTAACTGCTGGCGTGAAGTTTTAAGATTATAAATATTTGAATTAATTTTAAGAGAATAACATTTATTTTTTTTTATTTCGGTATGACTAGCAGTGAAATTTTCAATGTTAACAGGGGGTAATCATCTGTGAAGTCATTTTCTGAAATCTTTTGTTTAAGTTTTCATGCAATGCATTATCAAATAAAAATCACACTTTAGTATGAAGGTATGTTAATGCCATGTCTCTAGTCTGTTATAAAAATTCAATGCAATAATTTGACCTAAATTTTCTGTTCAATATTTTGCAAAATGTTTCAATACTTTTGAAAGATCACGTCTGCCTATATCTGTATAAAATGTATCGGTGCACAGCGTAAAAAACCTTTGCAAAACGGACATCTTCTTGACAAAATAATTTGTAGTTGTATCATTTGTAACTCGATTTTGAAAATTTAAAGTTTTTTAATGGAGAAGAATGATACTTAAGTGCAAAAATAGAATAAACATTTTAGTAGACCTTTCCTCATCGGCGATAAAGAAATGCAATACGACAAAGTCAGCGGTAAAATTATGCGGCTTTGAACATAAAATGACTAAACGGAACGCATAACCTACTTGAAAATATATATTGTAGCTTAACCATTTATAATGTAACTTTAAAAATTTTATGTTCAGATTCAAATAATAAAGCTCACCTGTTCTAAACGAGTATTAAGAAAATGAATACAATAAAATCGGCACGTAAAAGACATAAGTAATAACGGAATTGACGGAAATTATTGCTAATTACAAGTAACAAAGATAGGCATGTGATTCTCACATAGCTCTCTTCCGATAGCAAGAGACCTTTTCAAAATTTGATATTCTTTCTCTTTTTTTTAAAGTCATTCCTGATTAATACAGGGTCCAGGAGAGGTTACACTGGAATATTGAGTTTTGTATCAAAAATAGTGATCACTCCCATTTCGAACTCACGGGAACAATTTTAGAAGCATGCTGAGTAAACACTGGATCAGGATGTCATATGAGTGTGCGATCACTTGTTTCAATGTATATATTGCATTTGATACAGCTTTTCGGAATTTGTAGATGTTTATGATATTTACTAAAATGCGACCGAAAAATGCAATCTTAATAGAATTGTGTTACATTACCATTTTTATGGAACCAATGAGTGACCTCTGCTTTTGATTTAAGTTGTAAACAAGAAATGTTGTTGGAAGTTATAAGTATATTTAGCACATAACCCATATGCAGCCTGCAATGAAAATACAACTGCGTCGTATCATATTTGATTTCCAACTGCGTCGTATTATTTCGTAAAAATCATTATGTTCTTGGAAAATAAACAACTGTTTTTAATGAAAGTTTAGTAAATGATGCAAATTTATATTTTGAAGTTAATGGTGAACTCTGAAAACGAGTATATAATTGATTTGAAGGAAAAACGATAGATAAAGTAATATGAAATGCATCGTATCCAAACATTTTCATAAAAATTCTGCTCCACTCCGAGTTGCAAGTTCGCTATAACTTTTGCTTTAGAAAATAGTTGTGCAAACAACATAAAACGAACGAAGCGGAAAATAGTGTAGCGTGTTAATATATATATATCTGTTTTTTCAATCATTTCCAACAAAAACAATTATAAACAAAAACATACATTTTTCTTTCCAAGATGGCGGCGTTTGTTTACATTTTGTGGAATACGACGCAGTTTTTATTCCAAGCCATGGTAAGTCTCAATCAAACCGAGCCTGCAATCCTCTTGTAATTTTGTTGTGATTAATGCAGATTTTTTTAAATGTTCAAACAAAAGGCGCCGCGATGTGACGAAAACCAGGTTTATAACCATCAAGTATTGATGTGACAGGAAATAGAAATTAAATATGGCAGTGAAGAAAAATTGATGCTGTTTTTGTACCAAAATCAGTATTTTAAAACACCTTGGTAGCAAAACCTAGCTGCTTTATGATATAAGCTACCCATTCACCAAGGTTAGTGTTAATAGGCCTATACCTATATATTGAGCGGAAACTGAATTTCTATTTTTAGCAACAGTGACATTGATCTTAATAACAGGGACCTGGGTAGCAATCCCAAGCAGCCTCATGATATAAGCTTCACATACACAAAGGTTGGTTTAAATGTTCCTAAGTAAACTTAAGTTATTGAGCGGAAAATGAATTTCTATTTTAATCAACAGTGCCCTTGACCTTGATCACAGACACCTGGGTGGCAATCCCAAGCTGCCTTTTTGATATAAGCTACCAATACATCAAGGTTGGTGTCATTAAGCCTAAGCAAAGTCAACTTATTGAGTAGAAATCGAATATTTTAGCAAAAGTGACATTGACCATGATAAGAGACACATGGGAAGCACTCCCAATATACCAAGGTTGGTGTCAATAGGCATAAGCAAACTCAAGTTATTGAGCGGAACCTGAATTCTATTTTCAGCAACAGTGAACTTGATCTCAATCACAGACACCTGAGTCGCAATGAAAAGCTCCCACTTGATATAAGCTGTCCACACACAAAGTTGAGAGTCAATAAACCAAAGCAAACTCAAGTTATTGAGCGACAATCAAAAGTTGATACCCGGCCGCCCGCCGTCCTGCCCACCGACTTCGGCATTACAATAACCTGGTTTTCGTTGAAAATCTGGTTAATAACAAGGATAATGTATAGAACCCATGACTCAATGTAAATATGACATTGGAATGTCAGATAACAAAACATTCTGTTGCCACACCATAAATGCAATCAATAATAATGATAAATCAACATGTACGAGTATTCGTCATTTCTGTGAAAAGCCTGTTTTCCATTACATTTTTAACTCTGGATGAGATGTTTAGTCAAACGTCAGAACATGATTATTTTACTTTCTCATGTTCTTAATGTTAAACACATGCTATTTTTTGTTAAAAGCTTCATTAGGAAATAAACATCCACGTGCAAAAGCAAGTTGCTTATCAAAGTCACTTATTTTAATGCTATAACTTTGTTTTGAAAATTTAATCCGAATCAATACAAAAGAAAAAAGTGGTTATATATGCTAATACTTTCTTAAATGCTGATGATTGGCAGTCATGAAATTTTCCAAAGTAAACAATGTTTCTTAATCGGATATTTTTAAAATTTTGAAATAGATAATATGACAAGCAGACTTGCAGGCTTCAAAACCTCTGATCCCCTTTCATTTTTTTATTTTGTTTGTTTGTGTCCAGTGTATTCTCATTTAGGGTACATGCTTTTACTTTCTTTGTACGGGTGTGTCTGGCTGTCTGCATGCATGCATGCGCATGTGTGTGTATGTGTTTATGTACTGTTTCCTCACGGGTATATTGCCCTCATATATTTTGTAATAAAATCTACAATCTATATCGCTCCCTTGTATAAAGGTTTATAAACAACTTAAGACTGAAACGCAAAATGAAAAAGGATTTTGCCTCAACAGTGAAACATCGGCAATAACGTTGTAAATAAAAGAATCTTATCTGAAAGGGTAACACTTGATAGTGCTGATTTACGACAATCGTGACAGTTCAACTTAAAATGTTTTTCAGATCAGCTGCATACGTAACTTTTTGGACATACGTTTATTGAATGTTTCAGATAACATTATTTGGGCCCACAAATGTGGTTTATATTTTACAGCCCAGCAACTATGCTTTATATTTTACAGTCGCTATTAAGATGGGCCACTTTTTACATTTGATACAAAAATAATCGGGTGATATTTTACAGCAGCTACAAATATGGGCTTTGTTTTACAGTCTCCACGTCAAACCTAACTCGGTCAGCCATTATTATTGGGGTATGGATTGTAGGATTTAGAGATTTCTATAAAACGATGGATATCAATAATTCTTTGACGTGAAATGCTTTTATAAAGAGAAATGATATTCGATACTGGAATATCATAATTACTGGAAATGATATTCGAGACTGGAATATCATAATTACTGAAAAATCACGTTTACCCACTCCACCCCCATTCACACACGTTGAACATTACATATTCACTTAAATATCGAAATCTCTACATCTGTAGTTATTTTTCATATAACATTATAACGAGCAATAATTCATTATAATGAAAATAATTATTATGAACAATAATCATCTTAGTTCCTGAATACGCTATTGGCTAGTTACATTTACTATATTATCTTAAAGTATTTTTTTCTCTTTCAATATTCAACAAACTAATTTTGCCCATTTGAATATTCAACAATTGTAAACTTCCTTTAAATAATCTGACAAATTTATTATTCAGCAACCTTGTATTTTCCTTTGAGTATTCAGCAATCTTTTCTTTTTAATATTCAACAACCGTATATTTCCTTAACATATTCGTACAATTTTACATTTTAACCTTTAATGGTATTCAACAAGTTTATGTTTTCCCTTCAAATATCCCTGTTTTCCCATTTGAATTTAAAATAACTTTTTTTCTCTCCTTTGAATATTCAATAATAATGCCTAAAGGCACTAATAGGAAACAAAATCTCTCACAAATATCCTAATGAGTCAGCCCTTTCTTTCTAAATATAATATCGTTAACTCCACCGTCCCACCTTGAGACCTGTAACATAGAGTCATAGCCTTGTTTCTCCACATAGCTCTTCAACCCGCCTGATGAGCCCACATCATGAACATACTCTACTGTCAACATCTTTATATTCACCTTATCCCATGGAATCGTCTTCAATACATTTAATTCATCTCCTTCCACATCTAGACTAAAAAAATCCACAGTCAACTGATCTAAGGCTAAGAGTATGGAAAAAAGGGGAAAGCACTGAATTTGAATCTCGTCTTTGGCGATATTTTGCTTATTTATCCAATTCTTGGCTTCCTGGTTGTGGACAACTCGACCTCTATTAAAAGCTTTGTTGAAAGTCATCTGGAAAAGCAAATATATATTATATATTATTGTTGATTGTTAACAGTTAGAGTATAACAGTGATCCCATTATGTCAACTTAATCTGTTTATAAATACAACGTACGTTATAATGTCATTTCCTGAATTATGACATTTGAGCATGAAGGTCAAGGTCATTTATGGATTACGATCATAATTATTATAATTATAAAACATTATTTTAAAATAGGATAAAAGTTGTTTCAAGAGTGGTATGACAGGTTTGAAAGCATCACTATAAATCATTGGCTATCAATAATGTTATGTCTGACTCAATTTGTGATTGGAGTTTCCAATGAATTGCCTTTGAAGAACTAAAACTGTATTGTTGATAAATCACACCACTTGTCTTGAAAACTTGCCATGGTGGCAATATATATTTTCCTCATAGTTATCATGGCTATATTATGACTTAATCTCACTTATTGCTATCCTATTACTATTTCTATGATTTCTATGATTTCCCCCATTTTTATCACAATTGTTTAATGATTTTTTACAGTTTTTCTTTTATATGTTCCCTTGTTACAAATGTTTTCTTACTCAAATTTTACTATGATTTTTCCCTTTACTATCCATGGGATATAATTGAACATGCTGTTATATATACATTCCAAATACAACTACAACTCTATATTGTTTTTTCAAAGACACTTCCAAGTTTGTAAAACACATTGCTTTTCATGGTTAAACTGATGTGCAAATATTTTGAAAATAAAGGTGAATATAACCATCATTGTTTTTGAAAGTGAAAGTTGGGCTAACGTTTGAAGGACTCTCTCTCGAAGTATTAATCTATAATGTTAGCACTTTTCTGCCTCTTGACTTTCACCATAAGTCAGCATAGTTTTTTATTTTAACTTTAGCTTCAACTGCTATGAACAAGCGAGGTTTAATACACCCTTAAATGCCTGCGAATGACTCTTAGAATAACCAAATAAAAAATGGTAAATCTGCGCACTTGTTGAAATAAAGGAGGAGCAGAACGACACAAAATTTCAAAAAGTCGTACTTGTAAAGCTCGTTTGGAGCTTGACATGACGGGTACCCTGTTAATTTCGTATTGTGGCAGGAATCTGACACCATGAAACTTATTTTTATGTAGACAGAGCCAGCAAGTTCGTAACCGTTTTATTTCTTTTGTCTTTGACATCATTAATTTTTTCCAAATTCAACTATATCTAATTTTTAATAAGCAAATGACCAACAATAAAAATCAAATTTGAGCTTTACATATAGAATACATGTATATAAATCATTAAAGGCATGGAACACGTTACCAAATCTAACTGAAGCGAAATTTAAAACACAAACACACACACACATACACAAACGTGTGACATAGCTTGACTACATAAAATGCGGTAATTAAATTTTTTGAAGCCGCACATCACTATCAATCATTTCAAAAGAGAAAAATACAAAACCTTAAAATATATGCAATGAAATATCTTCAAAACAAAATTATTTCCTAGTTTCTAAAGGTGAACATACGGATAGATTGAACAAATCAGATGTTTGTGAATTATCCAATGCGTTTTGTACTGATGCGTTTCCTTCCATGTGAAACAGTTCCCCTTTAGGTTAACCATAGCTATTTATAAGATGCAACGTGTGTACGCATGATTTAATTTAAGCCTGCTTCAAAGATATTAAATCTCTGTAAACTGCAGACAATGGCAAAGTCCATTATTTCTATACGGAGATAAGTGAACATTGTCTACCCATTGAGGAAAATGTAAATAAAAATAATGTGAAACTAAGCAAGAAATCTTTAATTGGTTTCTGAAGTGTAAATTTGATATATATGAATGTTTGTATATACTTTCGATTTTATTGACGACTCGCAAACTTAATCGTGTCATTCCGCAATAAATCATGCGACTTATCAGCCAAATTAATCTCAATACACATTTATGAGCTTTTGAAAACTGTATTGATATATAGAAGTGCAGTTTTTAATTGATTCATATAAGAAAAATCTCAATTGATATATAACAGTTGAGTTCTTTTACACCTGCTATATATCGGTAAGTTTTTTCACAGAGGCTCCAATGGGGCATCAGTAACGCATATCCCGAATAATGTAAACACATATTATCAATGAAATAAAATTTATAGTTATGTATACAACTGCTAAAATCAAAAGGTACATCCGCTGAATGTATTATTTCCACTTGAAAAGCCCTTTAATCTTGAATCTATATAATTTTCTCCACAAGGTATCAGTCTACAATCGTCTGAATAGCAATAAAACAGTTATTATATTTGGAACTCGTTCGTAAAGGGGGGAATACTGGCTTGGGCGACATCAAGGGATGTTAGGCCGAGAAGGTTCTTGTCTAAAGACATTCCGACTGTTATATCCTCGAAACTAATGCGTTTCATATACTATAACGATTACTTACTGCAGGAGAACACTCTGTAGCATACTGATCACTGATCGTAGTTGTAAAGAGGGACCCTGTGACTGAATCTATATTAGACTTAAAAGTGACCATTGCAAGTAGGTTTATGTTACATGAAGGTTTAGACTGTAAAGGATGTTACGATTACAATAGAATCATCAGTTAAATACCGGTCATTATGATAATGTAAATCACATATTAAACTAAATCGTTAGAATTTCAATTTTATTTTGCTATTTAACCTATTGTCTCTTGGCATGCTGCTTCACACCAATGAGAATGTCCTTGGTCTTATAACAATGACCAATATGAAACCTGATTAACTTTTATATTTCTATTTAATATTACCTTCAACAAGATTCATTCACTTACCAATGCTGGATATGGTTGTGGATTCAAGCAAGCGTTCATGGTAAACGCCTTTCTGTTCTTTGTTTTCAAAACTTTATAATTTTCTGGATCTGCTTCTACGAGTAAACCGTTCCATTTCCTTACTTTCTCAAAGAAGAGTGTGTTTGATCCTTTCTCTCCATTCAAAGCCCCACATTCAATGTAAAAACCACCCTCCTAAAATCATTGAAGAAATATTAGTTACCTACTTGGAAGTTGCAATAAAAAAAGATTTATCAAGATTCCAGTGACATTATTTACAAATTTTCTATAACTGAACACAAAACCTGAATAATTGTATTGGATTTGACTAGCTTTAAAGATGAAACAGTTCATTCAAACGTTTCATATTTTCATATCAAAAATACAAAACAAGTGGCATTTCCCTATATACAAATGTATTTCAATATCCAGATGCAACAAAAGCTCAGTTTTCTCAGTCTCTTAACCCTTATCGTACTGGAACCGAAAGCAGCTAGCTTTTGCGACGAGCAGCCTGCAAAGCTGTCCAGAATTGGTTATAGACACTTATATATGTACATGTATATGACAGTTGGACAAGTCCGTTTAAGATGTTCAGCAATGTAAGGGTTAATTCTCACATTTGACCTTTGATCTCTGGGTTTGACACTGACCTTGGTTAATGGGACCTTAATTTTGCACACACGACTGTGCCTCACGGTGTAAATCATTCGGTCCATAATGACTCCATGCTTAACTATAAAAACTGTTTTCCTCTGGTGTCAGAGTGTTACCTTGATTTATGACCATGACTCATGTGTTCATAAGGATGAACATTTGTTTCATATTGATCTTATTCACCTTAATTATTCGGACAATACTTACCGTCTTTTGTGATATCAACTAAATTGTTTTAACTGTGTTTAAACTGATAATATTTTCACAAGGATATTTCGAAGTTTAATATTTTATGATGTTATTTAATTAAATCTTACGTTTCGTTTAACATATATCCACAGTGTTCGACAAAAGAAAATCAATTAAGTAAATATAAAAGGAGACATATGAATTGTACTAACCATGTAATTTAATCTGCTATCAACAAAAGGGGTCTGACCATTTGAGAACTCCAGTCGTTCTGGATTCAGAAGGTTATATGGAGCCTTTGAAGGTGGCTCGATGTAATAATCTCTAATCAACTTTATCAGCCGTGGGTCGTCTTGGCTCACTTTTTCTTTGTTCAGTTTCATCATGGCAGCCTTATAATCAAATGAGCTGTTTCGAACCATGGGTATAGTCATAGGTATAAAACTTTTAGAATGCTCGGCATTTTTACGATCTTGTGAAAAGATTCCTTGTAAAACGATTTCATTTGTGTCGCCAGGTTTATGCTCAACAGACAATGGTCGAGTCTGGTTCTTGTATTCGTGTATTAAAAAAACTAGACAAATCAGAACACTTGTACCGACTAAATAACCCACTGTATGTGGTCTCATCCTTTTTCCTCTTTTATTTTCTCCCGAAGAGAAACCTACAATTATAAAAGAAATATTTTTTATCATTACAAAAACAACTTCTATAAATAACAAATTATAAACAAAAAACTAATACAAGTAAGTACGGTTTGCCTACCACTCCAATACATATAATATTTTACATAATTGAATTTTCACATAGTAATTTAATGATATTTCCAGTAGTGTATCCAGTAGATTATTGAATAATAATACCACAGATAAATATTTTTCTATATGCACACCTTAGCATAGGATGTTCAATTGACACTTTTACTTTTCAGTTTGTCTCACATACTTTATATAAGGGCTATTAATTAAATAAAGCAGAGGTATCAATCACATAATCATCTGGTAACATAGTCATGTGTTTAAAATTATCGTCTGTTACATAATCTGGATTATCAGACGTGCGTGCATTCATGTCTCCACAAATCAATAGTTCAAAATCATTTACTAAGGTAGAATAAAGACTTGCAATATAACCTAACAATCTGTCAAAAACATTTGAATCTATCATCGATTGTCTGCTACTATCATCTGGTATTACATAGCATAAACATACAAACAAATCGTGCGTTAATGATAACTGAGAGCCCTTAATTTTCACACATATAATATCGTCGTAACTTTGAAAAACAAGTGTTTCATTCGAGACAAATTTACTTCGAACATATGTAATAATGCCACCTGATGATCGCTTACTACTTTTCTTAGTCTCAGTTCTATTTAAAACACAATGCTCAAAACCAGATACATGCAGTTCTGAAAAAGAATGTGTCCACGATTCTGTAAATACAATTATATCATACTCATTAAACAATTTCTTTATCTCTTGTGATGTTAGTTTATTTGTTCTTTTTGAGACAAGGCCCAGCACATTCAAAAGCGCTCATCGTAGCGGGACCTTCTCCTGGTTGTACTAATGTCCTTGATTTTCACCTGTGTTTATCACAGTGCTATTTTTAAACATCTGGGTTGACCAAGGTATAGATTTCACATTTTCTTAGCTTGTTATTAGAATATGATAACAAAAACATTTTAAACGGAAAAAAGTTAAGGGTCACCATTCTCATTTTCGAGTTATCTGCCGTTGAATTGGATTTTTTGTTAAATGCAAGGGCAGATAATTTACAATACAATACATTTTTTTTCTTCTTATTTTCAAGAAGCTTTTTTCTTCTTAGTCAATATGCCAAATTTTAAGAACAAATTTAGAGTGAATAGTTGTTTTTCCCACTTCTTCTCTTAACCTGTGCATTTTTTCTTAAAAATTGGCCTATTTTTATGAATTTAAAGTACCTTTATTTTCATTTAAAAAATAACAGAAACGATATAAGAAATTGCATATAATTATGTAGTGTATTCAACAATAAAAAGAAAAACATTATCCAGAAGTTCATTCACGTATGTATAAGTTATCTGCCCTTTAAATGACCTCAAATAAGTAGAAAATTCTGATTCAGGGGCAGATAACTCAAAAAGGAGAGCGGTGACCCCAATTTTTTTCGCTTAAAATGTGTCTGTTATCATATTCTAACAACATGCCAAGTTTAAAGAAATTATATAGAACAGTTTTAATTTTGCCTAGTATATGACTATATGAAAACTCCTGAAAACGCCCTTAACTGTCAATGTTATAAAAATATGTATTTAGTTCAGTTGAACTTTTGTCAATGAAAAAAAAATGAGCATAATGTCATTTTAAAAATTATTGACAATAATAGAGAGATGCAGGGGGCAAGTCGGGATAAGACACGTCAAAACTGCACAGGTTAGGATTTCTTGGTGAAGGATCTCAGATCTCGGACTTAGTTTAGACACATTTTAAACGTAGTGGCTTACTCCTTGATCTATGTCATTAAGGAACACAAAAATCATTTTAAGTTTTATCAAAGTTTTCTTGATTAAAAGTGAAGGTCTAAATAAAAGATGATTTTGTTTAACATTCTAAATGCTGTAGATATGACAAAGAAACAAACTTACAATTACAGCATGTAGTAAATATTATCCGTTTAGATCCAGTGTATTTGATATTTTGCATTTATCTTTTCTAGTTTAAATGATAGTGTTAAACAAGGCTGCGTTTGCAGATAGTTGGATCAAGGTTAGATAAGAGTTATAAATATCGTCGCACATATGTTCCTCTAAATTTTATTATTCTTTATCTAATTCTTAAAAATGTCTAAAATCATTATATGAATAACTAAACATCCATTCATCTGTATTTTTATTTAGTGTAAATAAAATGTGTTTAATACTATATTCATTTTTACCTTTTCACTTAATGTTCACATAAATACGCATGCGCATGTTCGCTTACGAGTATGTAAAATACTAATATTTGATATGATTTTCAAACGCATATGAAAATATTTTCATTTGACAAATGAGCTTGTTTTTAATGTTTCCACTTTTGTTCATCCACAAAGTTATATAAGATAAAAGGCATCTGAATAAAAGTCGAAATAGTATAACTGAAACATGTAATTAAATCAATTATCGCTATTCAACATTATGTCGATGTGAGAACAATCTTTCTTAATGTTCTGTACTTGAGCCCAAAATCGAAAACAAAAAAGCAATTGGTCACAGGAAGTGGACAATAGGTACAAAAATATAATGCAACGGTATCGAATATATATGTACATCTTGGATAAATTGTAAAGAAGTACTAATTGATCAACGATAATATGATTATACAAATTCAAGCTCTCAATTGCGAGGAACACTTGAGTAAATCAAATAGTGATGTAGACTCTGGCAATGATCTCAACTCCTCAAACTATTTAATGATACATAATTCAATCGTACTACATATATAAGGCTTTATATGGTAGTGAATTGTGGAACTATATGACACACTTAAACATACAGATCCAGTAGAGAGCCCGCCGCTTTTTGCATACAAACTTAAACATTGTTTGTAAATATTGATATGGCTTTGTTTGGATTAGGGATCAACCCTAATTTCGCCTTATTTAGCACATATATTTATTCTACATTGGGAAAAGACTTCAACAAGTATTAGGTTGCTTCCAGTTAATTCTTTTCTTGTTTTGAGTGTAAATATCATGTCTGTATATATGCTTATGTGAGGAATAAAATATGTTTAAACCAACACTATTACAACAATAGATTATAATACGTTACGATTTCTTGGACAACTCTGTGCTTCCAAATCATTATTTAGCAAACGAAATGTTGTCCATCGTTTAGTTCGTTATGTAAATTGTATAAAAGGACAGTATCGGGGTTTTACCAGACATATACATGTATAAACCTTTAGCTAAATACTAGAACTCCGCGAGTCGGATGTGTCGCCTTGTGAACAATGTAGTTTAGGAGAAATGGCCAGGACAAAAATGAAATATGAAAAATAACAAAGGGCAATAACTAAAAAATAATAAGTGCAGAGCAGCAGTTTCTGTGCACTGCACTTCTTATTAATAAGATCTATCATTCTATGATGTTTCAAGTCCATAGCTTTCATACTTGAGGAGAAATGACCAACACAAAAATAAAATAAGAAAATCAACAAAGGGCAATACCTCAAAAAATAAGAAATGCAGAGTATCAGTTCTTATGCACTGCACTTTTTCTTAATGAGATCTATCATCCTATGTAGTTGCAAGTCCATAACTTTTATACTTTCTGAGAAATGGCCTGGACAAAAACTAAGTATGAAAGTTAACAAAGGGCCATAACTCAAAAATTAAGAAATGCAGAGTACCGATTCTTGTGCACTGCACTTTTTCTTAATGAATTCTATCATCCTATGAAGTTTCAAGTCCATAGCTTTTATACTTTAGGAGAAATGGCTCGAACAAAAATAAAGTATGAAAATTAACAAAGGGCAATAACTCAAAAATTAGGAAGTGCAGAGTACCGGTTCTTGTGCACTGCACTTCTTTTTAATGAGGTCTATCATCCTATGAAGTTTCAAGTCCATAGCTTTTTTAGTTGAAGAGAAATGGCCCGGACAAAATTATGGTATGAAAATTAACAAAGGGCAATAACTCAAAAAATAAGAACTGCAGAGTACCGGTCCTTGTGCACTGCACTTCAAGTTATTAAAAGAAGCATGCATACCAAGTTTGAAGTCAATCAGACTTATAGTGACTGAGTTATGCTCCGGACAAGCTTTAGGGGACGCCGACATTGACGCCGACAACGACAAAGACGCCGCCGACAAAAGTAACCCCTATATGTCACCTTTCCAAGGCGACACAATAACGTAATTATAACTTTTGAAACATAACGATTTCCAAGCAAAGGAGCATGTAAGTGCATCTCAAAGTTTAATCTATATCAACGGAAATAAATCAGCGGTATGAAAATTTGTATCAGATTTGTGTCATTGGAACACATCTTAAATATTTTCAATATTGAAAGTCAGTGTAAATTTTAGATTTACAGTTAAATCATCCAGGCGGCAAGAATTTTATTGATTTCATTTGACATCCAAATATTTTCAATGTTTCCAGATAATAATAAACAGTTTTGTGTGTAAGGATGAAGGAAAGTCGTCAAATTTCCGTTATTTAACGGGGATTTTGAGTAATCTCAAAAATTACCGGTTAATTTAATTGGAGATTTAGGCCGATCCTAAATCTCAATCTCTACTTTAAAATCAGGAAAGGTCACCTCAAGTAACTGTTTTGCGCTGAATTATAGGTTCTACTGAAGGTGGATTGAATCACAACACAAAGTTCCGTTCTTTAATTTAATGTCACTTTCTCAGTGGAATACCACAAACATGTATTATATTTCAAATATACACAGGTTATCCTGATGTTAACAAATTGATATTAGAAATAGTAACAATTATTTGGAGTGGAAAGCCACAATGTTATCACAATATTTATAACAACAATCATCACCTGGGCATTTTTACAGTCAGAAGGTTTAACAACCTGATAAGTAAAGACAGCTTAAATGACATTATCACCTTAATATAATAAAACTTTTAGCACAATTGAGTGCTCAAAGAGGAAAAGCCACATTTTAATCATCCGGTTAAAAAGTTCTAAATTTGACATCTGTTATTAAAACATACAATATTTGTAACTTAATGTATTTGTAATTCCACACATTGTTTTGAAAATATGGCCTTTTTAGAAAATTATTATATTTTTAAGTTTTGTGTTTAAAAGAAATTAACATGCATATTTATTTTTTTTTTCAAAAAGGATTTTTATCATTTTTAAGCTGCACAACATAATGCTTGAGTAGACTTTTTGTTTGTTTTTTTCATTTTATGCCTTTTTCAACAGTTTTTCAGTCATATAGGCGGGTAGTTTCCTAATCATCGTTCCTGGAGAGTTACACCAGTACTAGACTACCTTCCTCCGCGCTAAACTACCAAAGCATCTCCCGGGGATCGAACCCACGCCATAGAGGTACCTGGATTAGAAGTCATCGACTCTAACCCCTCGACCACGGAGGCGGTATTTGAGTAGACTTACGGTTAGTAACTCACAATCCGACTTACGGTAAGTAACTCACAATCCGATAAGTGGTATTCGTTTTGTCAACTCAAACTTACCTCTCGTTAAGAAGACTTCAAAAGTTGACCGACCGATTATATTGCCTAACATCACTCAATATGCATTGCAAAAGTGTAATCATGACGTGTAAAAAAGTGTATTTCACCGAAGTGGAATATTTTGTAAAAACAAATTAATAACAATCTTAATAGAAAAGGAAAACGAATGGTAATCTATGTTCAATAAAACAAAAGCATGAGGAGAAATTTAAAGAGAAATTAATAGTTTTTCAAATGGTAAATGCCAGAATAGCAAAGCAATGTTGGAAAACCTGAAAGACAGTACCGAAAAAGGAAAGCTTAAGAAAGTAATGAAATGCTCCTGACAAGAATTTAGAACTAAAAAAAATTCAATAGCGTAAACTTTATTTTGAAAGTAACATCCGATTTAATTGTTTATGTCAATGAAATATTTTACAATACACAATTACGTTTTCTTTTCTTTATCACCTTATAACATTTTTAAAGGCCCATTATGCCTCAGAAATTCTATCATTTGTATTTCTCATTTTTTCAATTCTTAGTATCTTGTAACAGTTCTAAACTATCCTTTTTGCAAATTGTACAATCGTAGTGCATTATCATTTTGAATGGGGATTTAAAATACTACATTTTTTACCTTCATAACACATTACTGCACGTTAATTGCAACTTTAAATAGGCTTTAAATATTTGTCTACATAATTGAAAAAGAACGAACCATACCTTCAACAAGACTGTTTTATTTAAATCTTTGTCGTTTGCAGATATAGAATATTATATTATATTAATCATTTTAATTTCTAAATAAAACTAAATAATTTTGTACGTAACCCTCATCCCTAAAAATCCCTGTTTGATTGTGATGCTGGAATACCTGACGACTGAAACGGTAAAACATTACACAGTTATTATTTAAGTAACTGCTACAAACTGAATCTGAGTAATGAAACACCATACTCGTATAGTAAAGTATATTAATCAAGCTAAATATATGTTACAGATATTGTTTTGCAACGTATATTTAAATAGTTATTTTAATTAAAACACTCAGACGTCATCAAAATTTTATTTTTGCCATGGTTATTCATGATGCCATGACGATATTTTTCTGTCAAATTTTCCTTTGAAATATCTTTCAATATATAGATTGAGAATTTTATGCCAATCCCAAAATTAAAACAGTGAATTATAACTTGTATCTAATTGTTATCCTTTATATTTCAGAAAACAAAACGATAAATAACTTAATGGCTTTTATTTAAAACATAAATATTTCAGTCTTTAGGTTTATACGAAAGAATCATCCGAAAACTTGAGTCTAGAATCATCGACGGTCACATTGACAATCACAGGATCAGCTATTTTCATACATAAAAAGAAATTTAAGAAATTTCCAACTTGAACTTTCTTTTGGCATAAGCACTGATATCCCGCGAGCTATTTGTATCATTTCTGGTACAAATTCAAGTTCTGACATAAATTTAATGGGATCATCTCAACCCCTAAGTATCTGTTTTTCAGCAATCATTTCCTCAAATACTGTCAGTGAGTTTAAATGTATTCAAAATCATTACTCAAAACTACGTGGTATTCAG